ATAGCATCCCAGATTGAGTTGATTTATTTATTTTTATTTAAATGACTCTCTTTACAGTCCTGTTTTCTTTATGTACTGAAAAGGAGAGCAAGTTATTATCCTTTGTACAGAATTTCTGGCTGTGAGGAAACCAAACATCAAGACACCTTCCAGGCTTAAGCACAGCATTAAGACCTTAGACAGAGTCACTGAGATGAAGGAGTGAAGAGGAACAAGGTACAAAAAGGAGATTAAGAAGATAATTACTTTTTCCTCATGTCCTATTTCCTGCATGACCTTTGCTTTTCTTCTCTTTCACCCCTGAAGTATGAAGGATGGCAGCTATGTTACGGCTTAATTCTTTTAAAATTTTTAAATGACACGCTGGATGTGAAGATCTCAGGATTAATGAGAGAAACTGCAGTCGGAGACACGCTGATCTATGAGAGTGGAGAGTGTGGATGCAAAGTTCTGTTATTCAAAAGTCTTTAAGCTTTCTCTGCACTTTGTGGATGATATTAAAGAGTGTGGCGTTCAGGTTCCATCCTGTGCCGCTCTGATCAGAGAAAAACAGAATCCTTTCATCTTCTGAGCTGCCGTACTGTATGTGGAAGAGTGAAAGCTGCTCTCCTTTCATCTCAACACATCTGCAAAACTCAGGAAGTGTGCAGGGGTCAGAGGTCAGGCGTGGTCCGCCGTGTTTCGAGGCTCCTCCTGCAGGAGTTTCTGTCTCTTCCTGATTTCAGGGTCGTGTCTGCACTCTGACCTTTGGCACCGAGTCAGCCTGACACAGCAAGCTGTCTAATGACTCATCCTGTCACATGATAAATAATATTGATCAGTGTATCAGTGTAAATGCTCAGAAAATCTGTTTTATTTTAGTACCTTCTAGGCCATAGTTAGGAAAAGTTTAAGTTTTTATTGGAAAAAAATATTGGCCTGTCGGATGACTCCAAGACGGTAAATAGAGGAATGGTTTGACATTATGTACTATGGAGACCGGCTGCATTCACTAAAACTAATATTCAGCTCCGTTTTTGTGAATTAACGACTTATTATCTCATAATTATGAGATCACTTTTCATTATAAAAAAAGAATCTGCTGATACCTCGTTCTGATATTGTTCAGTTCGTATTGCTTGTTGGTGAAAGTGAGATTAGATTTGTACTGAGAAGCATTCATTTATTATAATTTATTATCATTTATTCTCATTTATTCAGAGCCCAAACGCTGAGTCACCACTCAGACAGCAGCAAGAGTGACTTTTCTCTGACGTTTAACCTTTAATCTCACAAACTGTGGTGGACAGAAGTCGGCTGTTTGTTGTGGATATGTGCAATATAAATGTGAATCAACCCTAAGTAGATAAATGAATGACATTTAAGAATGTTTGATGGAGGGATCAGAAAGTGCAGAGTGAGTATTTTTAGATTGGTATTTTTAGTGCAGGTAAAGGGGAATAAAACACACACACACACACACACACACAGAGACAGAGGAGCATTTAAAGAGCAGCGGTCCAGTTTCAGCAGACTGTAAACTCGTCTCTGCGGCGGCAGGGAGGGATTTCTGAGCTCAGTATCAATCGGAAGAAAGCTTTTAGCCCGGTGTGGTTTCTGTGGTTTCACCGCTCACTTCCTGCTCAAAGGTTATTAAAGCCTGAAACAATAGAGGCGGTGGGACAGGAACGGCAGGCCGGAGGAATGTCATCACGCCTCGGGAGACTTCCTGAGACTCAGATGTGGGGAAGAGGCCCAAGAAACTCTGAGCATCTGAGAAACTGAGAGCGCTGTCTGTTAAAACACAAACAGTTACTAATCAGCCCCTCCAGGATTCCACTCGCTCTCTTCTGGGGGAGTTTTAAGGCAGCTTTTCTAAAACATTGAAATGCATGTGATGCTTTTAGGCGTTTATTTGCAGTGACATTGAGGGAGGAAGTGAAAGAAATGTTAAAATAATTAAATTTTTTGGTATAATTTATTAAAAATTGACGGTAAAATATTCCAATCAGAGCACAGAGGCTGTTTTTAATCCGAGAAAAATGATAAAATGTGGAGTGAAAAAAGCTGCAGAGTAACTGGGGTGTAACCTGAAAGCCTCGTGGTGTCTTTTTACCAATAATTTCTATCAATATCGTATTGATTCTGTCTGAGTCTTGATACAAAGTATCTGAAGACTCCTTCGCTCAGAGGTTTAATGGATGTTTCTCAGTGTAACCACAGAACAGCTGATGCTCTCTCACACACACACACTCGTCAATAATAAATCCAACTGATCCTCCCCCTGTCCCCTCTGACAGATGAGTCAGTGATCAGCGGCGGTGGAGGCGGCTCGTCTCGCCTCGAGCCGTCTGAGTCACTCCAGGCGGCCTTGGCTGCTCACCGCCGCGTTATTGATTGCTTTTTTCTCTCCTCGCCATGCTTCCAATCGACAACATCTAATCACAAACACACTGAGGACTCAGCTCGCAGCAGAGGAAACAACGCTCCCTCCTAATTGGATCTTTATATTGAAGTCTGATGGTAGATATGACATTTCGATAACGCTCTTCCCGCTGTTCTGGGTTGGGGTTTGAGTCTAGAGTTGGCAGCTTCTTGATGTCTTTGTCTCTGTAATGGCGCTCGGCCTCGCTGTAAGAGTGTCGGTCTGCTTTAAAAGGATTCAAAGCACCTTTTTGTATATATTTGGTTGAATCTCACAACACTAAACCATTTTCATCCAAAGACTATATTCAGTGTGATTAGGAAAAATGCCTTAACGCTGGTTCTGATTCCGTCTGGCTCTAAAATCTCTTTACATTTTTGGATTCCATGAAAAATCCCACTTTTATCAACATTCGAAGTCAGTTTTTCTTACTGCATATTTAATATTCAACTTCTTATGAATGCATAGATAGAATACTTGATTGTGCTCCTTCTAGTTTCTGAGATACAGCCAATTTCAACAACCCATCACATGTGTGTACTGGAAATAATACAAATCTCTCACATTTTGTTGCTTATTCTGGCATTTTCATCCATTTTATGAGAAAACAGAAGTCCCATCTGCCCAAAGACTGAATACTGTGTGGTAAGAAAAACTCACTTCTCATTGGAAATCAAAATTTCAGTTGCAGGCACAAATGGGTTCAGTAAATTTACTCAAGTACTATATGTAAATACAATTGTGAGGTAAACAAAAAATAAATAAATAAATGCAAAAATGCAACAGGAGGAAGACGAGTAGTTGGATGATGAGTGCCACGAAGGCATCCGGATGTACGAGTAGATGTGTTGTTTAACCTTCTCTTATCTGGGCCGTTGACATACCGCCATGTTGGATTTAGTACCATACCAATACCATACATCATTGGAAAGCTTAGAATCTCGTCTATTTATTGGTCAAACGCTTTTTGGATACAATCACAACAGCAGGCACAATCGGTGCCTCAAACTAGCAAGCAAGCAATCAATCATAAAATTGAGCCAACTCACCCAAGAAGCCTCATTGTAACAAAAACAGTTCTGTTCTTGCAAAAGGTCCAATATATACACTCCATTAAGATTTATTGTCCATCAACATGAGCACATAGATTCAATTTTTTTAGATCTTTTTAAATGAGACCAAAACCAATGCATGTCTGCAAATGGTTGAAGACAGCTTTTAATTTACTTTGGTAAATGTTGTTTTTATGCATTTTTAGGTAATTTTACATACATGGTTAAGAGGTTAAACCCTTCGGTAAGACTGCAGAGAGAGAAATAAAATGTTTTAATCCTTTAACATCTTGTGGCAGAAACATTTATTACTGAAAAGCTTTCAGTTACATCATAATGGAAACATGTAAAGTAAAGCTTTTTTTTTGTATTTGTGGCACATTAGTTGGCTGTTGATTCTTAAATTTTAAGGAGTTGCTGCTTTCGATTAACATTTTTTTCTTAGACGTGGAGGGAATAAGGAACAAGACTGTATCTTTCAGACAGGGTGGAGGTGGTTTGTTGTTGGGCTGCTTTGTGGATTATCTCCCTTTTTCTACCTTTCACCAGTGATATTAATCCAACTTTAACTTCATCGCCTTTTTAATTGTTGTTGGTCCTCACCTTCCAGATGGTTAATACTGCGCAATCATGCAGGCAGGAAAACAACAATTAACATAAAGGCCAAACAACGTCCGAGATGTCCCCCCCAAAATTTTTTTTAAAAAAGTTTAAAAAAAAAAAAAAGTTTTTTTAAAAGCCAGGGGAAAAAAAAAAAGTTTTTTTTTAAAAAAAGGGTTTTTAAAAAAGGAAAAAAGGGTTTTTTTTTCGGTCCCCCCCTAGAAAAAAAATTCTGGCGCTTTTTTTTTTTTTTTTCTAATTTTTTTTTTTTTTTTGGAAAGTGGGGGGTTCCCCCCTTGGGGGGAAAAGGAAAAAATTTTTTTTTTTTAAAAACTTTTTTTTTTTTTTTTTTCCCTTTTTGGGGGTTTTTTT